AACCTGGGACCCCCTGTCTCCTGGCACGGCCCCTTCTCACTGCCCATCCACCATGCCGGGCTCTAGGCAGGCCAGTGGGGCACCTGCGCTGCATCAGGTCCGTCGGACTCCCCACCCCCCCGGAGACGACACCCCCTGCTCACCCCCACGGCCTGGCCAGGGCCATGCATGCCTGTCGTAGGTGGTCAAGCCCATGGGGCCCCCCCACCCATGCTCCCAGGTGCACACGAGTGACCGCACGGATGGGCGCCCGGCCCAGCACCCCCAGGCTCCAGCCTGACTGAGCAACCTGTCGCTGCACCCCGCTCCTCTCCCATCCCTGGGGGAGATAGGGCAGGGGGCATGGTGGGGATGCAGTGGGGGGTGGCGCAGTGGTGCGACCGCCAACTTTAACCCCAGCTTTAACCAAACTTTAACCCCAGCTGAGGCAGCCGCATTTCTATGCAGTGAGGGTCTCAGTTCAGTGTCATCTCTGGGATTCCTGCTAATCTCTCTCCACTCGCAGGTGTGAACGACCCTCTCTCCTTGCTAATGCGCTCCCTGTTACACCGCTCAAGCTATCTTTTCTCCTGCCACCTTGCTGTTAGCAGTTCCTGGTCACGTCCCTCTTCTACCTCCCAGCCAAGCGGCTGGCTTTGGCTCTCACTAGAAACCTTCAATCAGATGTGGGCCTGCAAACTCAGGGGTAGACGTGACTGGCAGAGAAGCATTGTTGGAGCCGTCAGGATGCTCAAGAAGACAAGATGTTGTGTTATCAACTGAATAAGAGGTGTCCATTGAGCTCTAACGACTACCTCCATGGGCCCTGCCCTGTGCTGGGGCACCCCCCAGGCCTGTGCAGCGCTTGCCACATGCCCAGGCTCTCTCCGGGCCATGCGGGCTGCGCATGGCGGGCTCTGCTATCCTAGTCCTGAAACCCCCCAGCCCCTGCCAGGCCCTGCCCTGCTACCTCCAGGGCCCTGGCACCGCTTAGCTCCAGGGGGTGCGGCTGCCCCACGGCCTCGGCTCTGCCCTGCGGGCTCCGGACCAGTCTTGCCAACTGGGGTCACTCACAATGGGGTCCGGGCACCCCCTGCTCAGACACCCCCAGCTCTGCCTGTCTCCAAAGGCCAAACAGATCTTTGGACTATCCTTTTGCCTGGTGCATTGGGGTTTTTACACTTTATATATCATCTAGCAATTGGTGCACGTGCCAGGAGCTCTATTTGCTTTGATATGCAACTGAACACTACAGCACCGGGACCCTGGCATAAAGCCTCTATCATAGACTCATCAAGTCCTAGAGCCGTGGGGCTGGAGGGGACCTCCAGAGGTCACATCGAGTCCGACCCCCTGCCCGAGGCAGGACCAGCCCTGTGCAAACCACCCCAGACAACCCCCACGTCCGAGCTCCCAGTACAACGACCTGACACAACACCAGACATCGCACCCGCCCCTGCCCTGGGTGCACTGCGGTGGCCAACGATCTGCTTTTATAAAAGGTTAATAGATGCAGAGACCCCAGGCTGAGGTCCCAGAGGAAGATTAAATGCCCCCCAGTCCCTGGGGGGAAATCCCTTCCTGACCCCAAATGCAGCATGAGGGTGACCCTGAGCAGAGGGGAAGATCCTCTGGCTTTGGTCCCAGCAGGAGCGTTGGCACAGCCCAGTCCCCAGCCCCAGCCTGGGCTGCAGCCAGCACCCCGGGAGGTTTGAAAACCCCCGACACGTGTAGCAGCAGGAGAGGTGGAATTCCCTGCCGGCCCCATGCAACAGCCTGGGAAACCCCCGCAGCAGAGGCTACACCTCCATCCGCCCCACCCAGCGCCTGTCCAGCCTCTCCTTGCCCCCTCCCGTGCTGCAGCATCCCCCAGCCCTGGTGCTTCCCCGCTCGGGCAGTGCAGAGCTGTCTCCCGGCATCCAACCTCAACCTGCAACCCCCAGCGAACCTGCAATCTCTTGCCCTGACCCTGGTGGAGACACTCCAGAGGCACGAGGGGAGAGGACCCAGGAGATCCTGGCCCTGGGGCGGCTCCACACCTGGGCCACGGGTCGGGGAGGGCAGAGGGCAGGATTTAAGTGCAAAGGAGCCAGTAGCTGGAGGGAGGCGAGAGCATGTGAGCACGTGTGCCCTGGGTGTGTGTCACCGCAGGATCACACGGCGTGTGCACATTGCAAGTGTGGGTGTACTGGATGCACGCATCCATGCTAGGCACAGGTGGGGGAGGAGCGTGTGCCAGGGGTGGCTCTACAAGCACACATCATAGGCGTGTGCTTTTGGCGCGTGCATGCACACTGGAAGTGTGTGCAGGGCATGCGGCCGAAGGAGTGTGCATGAGTGTGGGTGTCTGGCAGGGCTGCCCCTATGCCGCAGGCGTGTATGTGTGCCCCCAGGGCGCGTCCCCCATGGGCGGTGCATGCCTGCATGGTACCCTGGAGCAGCCTGGGAGCGCATGGGGCACTGCGTGGCCTCTGCCCCTCATTGCACGGCCTGGGCGGCGCAGGGAAGGGATGTGCCACAGCCACCAGCCGAGTCAGGCCGAGGAAGGCGCCATGCCTACGCCCTCTTGTATGCCGCCAAGGCTGCAAGAGCCACTAATTAGCGCCTCTGACGAACCCTGGCAGCATGAGAACAAGAGGGGAGCGAGGGCACACTGCACACGTCATCCACCCCCTCTCCCCAGCCACCGGCCCCTGCCCATGAACACAGGATCTCCTTAGCCAAGGGGCTTTGCATGCAGGGAGATGCGCTGGGCACATGGCTTGGGGGGGCTTGCTATCATGGGGGAGAAGCAGCTCAGCAGCTCCTGGGGCAGTTTTGTTCTTGAAAGGGGCAGATTCAACCCTCTGCGGGGCCCGGGGATGCCCCAATCGCCCCCCAGCCCAGCTAGCCTGGGGGGCTGAGCCCTGCCGTCCTCCTGGAAGGCTGCTAGCCAGTGCCCCCCGCCCCCCCATCTCGCGGCGCCCGGGGCAGCACTGCCCGGCTCACCTGGCGGCCCACGCGGTTGTTGTGCAGGCGCGTGCGGGAGTGGATGTCCCGGTAGGTCTCCCGTGAGTCCAGGAAGTCCTTGGAGAACTTCTCCCCGAAGTCGACGTCGGGGCTGCAGCCGCCCCACTCCCAGGCGTCGGCGGGGCCCGGCGGCTCAGCCGGCGTGGGCTCCACATGCACGCCGTGCACCATGCCCTTGCCGCGGTGCATGGCCTCCAGCTGCAGCCGGTGCAGCTTGCTGCGGAACGCCTCCTCGTCCCCGCGCCGCGTCTGGTCGCAGCCGCAGGCCTGCAGCTTGCCCAGGGCACAAGCGTTGGCCACGGCATGCAGCACGCCGGCCGCTGCAATGGCGTAGGCGAAGGCGCTCTCCCGGAAGCCTGCGGGGAGCGGACGGAGAGCAGGGGTGAGTCCCTGGGGCTGGGATCTCGGGACTCCCAGCCTCCCGCCGGCTCTGCCCAGGTGGCAGCCCCCTCCGCCCTCCCTTGGCCAGGGGCCCAGGCCTTGGCACCAAGCTTATGGGCTCCGAGGGAACCTCCTAGCTGGGAAGGGGATGCATGGGGGCGTCCCGTGCATTGAAGCTCTTTGAGCCCATACAGCCTCGAAGTGAAGTCAGCCGTGCCCGCAGCCAGAGCCGGGCAGAGCGGGATGGGCAGTGGGTGCAGTGCCCACGTGGGCAGACAACACACGTGCATCTCTATGTCTCCTGTCACCATCGCCTGTGCCCCTACGTTAACCCAGCACCTTCAGTGCCCCTCGAGGCCTGGCTTTGCTGTGAGAAGCCAGAGAGGGGTCCTGGGTAAGCCGACCCCATCCCCCAAAACCTGCTGCAGCCACCCAGTTTGGGGGCAAACAAACTGTGGGGCCAAACCTGGGGCAGAAGCCAGGGTGGAGAGCTCCCTGCCAAGGCAGGAGGGGCCCCAGCCGGCTGGGGCACCCCCGTGCTGCACCCCGCAGCGCTCAGAGCTGCCCCCCAGCTGGGCCGTGTGCGCCGAGGCTGGGCCCCGTGAATAACGACCTCTGTGCAAACCCTGATGTCTTCAATGATTCATCGCTGGTCCCCGCGATGATCTGATGGGGCCGCGGCTGGTGGCGCTAATTGCACACAGGCGCACGTTAAATATTGACGAGGCGCTGATGGAAAGGGGGAAGGAGCTGGCTTCAGCCCCAGCCCCGCACGGCTGCACCCAGCGCCGGCCAACAGCATCCTCCTGCCGGGGACTGCGGGAACTCATCACACGGGTGCATAGATCAGAGACCCCAGCCCAAACCCACCCAGCCCCTCCCAGATAAACCCCGTGTGTGACCTCGGAGCCGCACGACACCATCACACCCGATACAGCCCCGGGCATTGCCCCCACCCCTGCCCCCGGGATACAGGGGGGTCACAGCCACCAACGTCCTGCTGCTGCCAGGGGGGTTGGTGGGTTCTGGGGAGAGCCCAGGCCCAGACCGTGCCCCCCTGCAGAGGGAAGGGAACCCCCCCAGGCCGAGCCAACTGAGCAGGAGGCAAATCTCTGACTGCCCCCACAAGGCAGCGTGAGCAGGGGGCAAGAGCCTGTCGTCAGGACCCCGCGGGGCTGAGTCCCATCAAGATCACTGGCACAGCCGGGCACAGCACCCAGCACCTCTGGAGGGGGCTTCAACCCCCTGACGCTGGGGGGAGGCAACCAGCACAGCCCCAGCCTGGGACACCCCCCAGCAGATCACAGCGGGTTGGGGCAGGGGGCAGAGAACAAGGCGAATGGGGAGCTCAGAGCCCGGCCCCATCACACCCGGCGGGGTTTACCTGGGATCGAACCTGCCTCCATTCAGCCCAAGGGTGGATGCGCTGGAGCAGGGAACGGTCCCTCCCCGGGGTCCTGACTGCCCGTGTCCCCCCTCCCTCGGCCCAGTCGCCCTCCTCTGCCCCCGTTCATCTCACGGGTGTCAAGCCAGGCCTCCCCGCAGCCCAGCGCATCGCACCATCCTGCCCCAGGCTGCCCCGCATCCGCCCACGTCCACCTGCCCCATGGGCACCCGCTGCAGGCTCTTGGGGGACCTAAGGACTGGGTCAGACCCAGGGTCCATCCAGCCCCGCGTCCCGTCTCCAGCAGATGCTAGAGAGGGTGAACATTAACCCGGATCTCTGTCCCCTCTCCATCACCCTCCCCGCCTCCCCCATCACTGGGTTGAAGCTGCTCAAGGGTTAGGGTCAGGGGTGGGGTCCAAGAGCCATGAATAGACAGATCCTCCATGGACATATCCAGTCCCTCTGCTCTCGGCCTCCACCCCCTCCCGGGGCCACGAATCCCTCTCATTAACAACATGTTGCAGGAAAAAGCTCTTCCCTTTGTTTTAAACCCATCCCCTGCTCATTGGAGCGGTGCCCCCGGCTCGAGTGTCTGGGACAAGAGAACAACAGCTCCCTGCCCCTTTGGTCCACAGACTGCATGATGCTGCAGGCCCCGTCCTCTGCCCCTTTTCCAGATGGAAAAGTCCAGGCCTTTTTAGCCTCTCCTTGTCTGGCAACAGCTCCAGGCCCCTGCTCACGCTGGCTGCCCTTCTCTGGGCCTTTTCTAATCCTTTTGGAGACGCGGGGACCAGCCCTGCATGTGCATGGGCACCCCAGGGGTTTGCACAGAGACAGGACAGCGTTATCCTTTCTTCCAGACACCCGACATGCTATCACTTTTTTGGGTGGCTGCCGTGCACGGAGCCACCCGATACACCCCTTTACCCCCGGCCCCAGCGGGCGGTAGAGCCGGGGGTCCTTGCTCTCTGCTGCAGGGACCTGGCCAGGTTCGAGGCATCTGGAGCCCAAATGGCATTTCCCAATCCCACCCGTCCCCGCTCCCGGCACTCAGTGCAACCTGCAAGGCCCCGAATCCCCGCGCTGCTGGGAGCTGCGTGGGAGCCGGAAGCTGGGGCAGGCCTGGCGTCCCTGGGTGGGCACCAGGATGTGCTGGGCCAGGCTGGGGGGACTCAGAAGCAGCCAGACTCTAACGAGGCCGACCCACCTCGTTAGCCGGCCAGCTCCATGGCTGTGCCCAGCCCCCAGCCCACGGCTGCCTGGTCCCCAGCCAGGCCCAGGCAGATGGGAGAGAACTTCCCCTGCCCGGCTCCTCCGGGCCCTTGGAGACAGCCGGTTGCAACACGTCCGTCCTCCCCCCCACCCCCTTCACTCCCTAATTAAACTGCAGGTGAACCCGCCAGGGGCTGGCCCCGAGCCAGGCAGGGCAGATCCCGACCTGCCCCCGTCCCCTCCCGAGCACGCGGGACCCTGCTCCAAGCTCGTGGCTCCTCTCGGCCGCGGATGGGGCACAAGCCACCCTCCTGGGACATGGGGGACTGGGTTCAAATCCTGCCGCAGCCCCCATGGGTCGCAGGGAGCCTGTTTCCCCAAGGCAAGGGCTCAGGGCTGGACAGTGCAAGGGTCTCAGCAGCCAGGAGGGACAAGAGCCTGGTGCCTTCTCCGGGCACTGCCAGGCTGCTACCTGCCGGGCGCCTGAGGTCTGTGCCTCCCACGGGCCCTTCCCGCCCTGCTCTGCCTCTCCCGTCTGCTCGCCCCCGGGCCGGGGATAGAGAGGCGAGTGGCTGCAGAGGAGCTGCCCGGTCCCCTCCGAGGGCTGGCAGGAGGGGGCTGAGTGAGAAGCAGCAGGGCCGGGGGTTGGGCAGACAGGGGGGACCTACAAATAATTTACAGGCCGCGCACGCACGGCTGAGCTGATGGCCGCGGCAGCGGGAAGGGAATGAAAGATTAACGGGCGCTGTCACTTCGAATGATCTGAGCGCACACGGCGGCTCCGCCGGGACCGTCAGCCACCGCCCCCACCTGGGACAGGAGCAGCCCCACGGCCGGGGCTCTGTCTGCTGCAGGCTGGGGGCACGCGGCTGGCTCTTCTTCTGGGCCTGGGGTGTGCGGAAAGCCCCCGCCTTGCTGGAGCTGCCGTGGGGTCCCCAGTTGTTCCTCTCTCCCCTGCCACTGGCCCTGAGGCTGGGCCCGGTCTGTCCCGACAGCATGGCACACCCCTGCCTTGCATCTGCCAACCTGCTGCGGGCCTGGCAGAGGCAGGTATGGCGCTCCACGGTGCCTCGTTAGGGTGCAGAGACCCCGGGATCGGCCCCCGGCCACCCCCTTGGAGATGACGACTCTACCCTCTCGCGGTCGTGATGATGCCAGGCTGGGCGTCCACCCCCGCAGCGGGTCCAGGAGGGACCTGAAATGGCCTTGCCGCTGCCAAGGTTCGAGTTCCCGGGGCCCAACGGGAGGGGGATGAATGCGTGGACCCTCTGCCCCCTGGCCCTGCAGGGCTTCTGGGTGGCATCCGCTTCACAGCTTCCAGGTGCCCCCAGCCCCCAAAACAGCCAGAGGGGTGGGCTCCGGGTACACGGGCACCGGGTCTGGCCTTGTCCCCAGACACAGAGATGCCATGAGTGAGGCCGGGGGGCGGAGATTTATCTCTGCTGTGGCCCCCAGAGCTGGCTGCATTGCAGGGGAAAGGGGAAGACCTCCAAAGCAAAGCCATTGCCAGGAGTGTTTGGCCTGGGGGCCACGGGAGCACGCAGACCCCGGCGCTCTCCTCCCAGTCTGTGGTGCCTGGCACCCCATACCCCAGGCAGCACGGAGGAGCTGGGGGCTGGTGCCAGCGGCAAGGGGCTCCGTGATGTCTCCAGGCTGGGGATGGAGAGGGGAGTCCTTACCACGGCTGAAGATGATGCTCTCGTAGGGGATCTTGTTCTTGGTCTCCAGGCTGGAGCAGTTCCAGCGCTGGTCCCGGAACTGGTGCTGGCACTCGTGGATGGCGATCTGGATGCCCTGGATGGCCGAGGCCGTGACGTCGGGGTGGCGCACGCACACCTCCAGCTGCCGCCGCGTCAGCCCCGGCAGGGTCAGGCACACCGTGTTGGCGTTCAGCACCGGCTCCGACGGCAGCCTCAGGCCCAGGATCTCGTTGGAGACGGAGCTGGGGGAGACACGGAGATACGGGTGTTCAGAGCCAGAGTCCAGACATCCTGGGCAGGGACCGGGGCATGGCTTTGGCCCCTCCATTGTGGAGCTGACATAGGGCAGCAAGTCCATGGACAGCGCCAGCTCCATCCAGCCCCTGGCACCAGAAGCACCTTCCCTCCCAGAGCCACCGGGCAGGGACAGAGGGACGGGAGTGACAGGACAGATGGACACACAGACAGAGGTACCACCCGTCCGGGGCCTGAAGGGGCAGGGAATGGATCCAGAGGCTCAGGGGGCAGAGGGGGTGCGTAGAGTTGAGAGGAGGAAGGAAGAGATGCCCGTGGGTGCAGGATGGATGGACAGAGGGAACAGGGGACAGAAGGACATGGGCTTGCAGGGTAAGTAGGGACAGGGGTGTCTGGAGGGCTGAGGAATGAGGAGGCAGGTGGATGGGGGGATGAATAGAGTGGGGTCTGCACACAGGAGGGATGGGGGAGATGGATGGATGGATGGATGGATGGATGCTGGGCAGATAGATCAAGACCTAGATGGAGAGATGGATCCATGGATGGGGTAGATGGATGGATGGACTGGTTCATTGGATGGATGGATGGATGCTGGGCAGATGGATCAAGACCTAGACAGAGGGATGGATGGATGGATGGATGGATGGACAGATGGATGGATGTAAAGGGGCTGGAAGGAGAAAGGAGTGGACAGACAGACAGGTGGATGGATGGATGGATGTAGTGGGGGCTGAGGGAGAGATAGGCGGACGGACAGATGGACATGAGGGGGCTGGAGAGAAAGATGGGTGGATGAAGGGGTGGATGATGTGGAGGGATGGATGGATAGACGGTCAGCCAGCTGGACAGACATGATGGGGCCTGGCTGCATGGACAGATGGACAGAGGAAGGATGCCCGGACTGGTGGACAGATGGATAGATGGAGGGATGGACAAACAGATATGAGGGGGCTTGAGGGAGAGATGGATGGACAGACCATGCGGGGGGCAGAGGGACGACCTGGCCAGACAACGGGATGCAAGCGTGCATGCGGGGACGGCGGGGCGGCCCGGACAGATGCGGAGCTGCGGGACTGGGGAAGAGCAGACGAGAGGCAGGGGTGACAGCCCACGGCCAGGGCTCCCGGGGCCCAGCCCCCATCTCCTCTGGCACCCCAGAGTGCCCAAGCCAGCCCCCGCCACCCGGGGGCTGGCACCGAGTCGGGTGCAGGGATCCCAAGGCCGCCCCCGCCCTGTCCCGTGCCCAGGTAACCCCTCACTGCTGGAGCAGGGGCATCAAGGGCAGGCAGAGGGGTGACGCGCGGGGGTCCCCGTTCCCCATCCCTGGCACCAGCAGCGGGTCCCGAGGCAGTGCCACCCCCGTCCTCATGGGGTCTGATCCCAGGGCCCGACCCCCGTCTGGGGAAACTGAGGCAGGCCCCGGGCCGGGCCGGGCCGAGCGGGGCTCGTGCCCGGGACTCACCCGGGACCGCGTCTC